TAGCTGCCGCTGCACCCGGGTGGTTCGTGCCGCACATGATCTTGTCTCTGGATTCGCCCGATTATCAGTGATTTTCGCCCATGTTTCTGATCCATGAAGTGCTCATACCTTGGGTGGGTTGTGCACGGCAGTGCCTTCCTCCGTTTCGCCTCAGAGATCTCTCCACGCAGCCCTAATCCCTCTCTCGTTGCAGGGAGACGCAGGACAGGTAGGCAAGATTCTACGGAAGATACCACCCCTCTGGCGGACTTTACGCTCCGAGGTCCGTCGCGGGTGCGATCCCTTTCACCTTTTCAACGCCACTATACTTTAGAGGTGTCCACGACGATTCTATAGAGGGCTGCCCTAATTTTGGATCGCAACTACAGCCGGAGCTATTGAGAAACTTCGGTTGGTCGCTATGGTGAAGGCCAGCTGCGAGGGGTTCCGTGAGTCATTGGTCGAGAACAAAAAAAAGAAAAATGGGGTGTACGGAGCCCCTTGCAACCCGGGTGGGTGAGCCATCAACCGGCGCGCCATCTAAAACCAGCTCGAGGGAAAGGAACGGAGGGAGGGAGGGAGGGAGGGGGATGGTCCTTTGTTGTGGCTATTGCTCAGGCCTGCCTGGAAACTGGAAACCAACATGGGAGGTGAGCTGCATGAATTGTTGGGGGTTTGCGTGATCGTGTCCTTCTGTCTGCGACGGCAACGGTGGCAGCATCAGGAAAGAAGGGTGGTAAGTTGTATCACGTGAAAGACACGAGTGCTCTAAAGAATGGGTGGTTCCGTTCCCACGGAGCCCACGGAGGTTATCGAGCAGTACCAGTTCTTCTCAAAACAACAGTTGTCGTGTTCTGCGCACCTAAAGTATTGTAGGCCCTTACCCGTGCACGTGTTCTTTACGGACAACATATTGAACAGCGTCAATCGTCATAAGAGGGCTTGGTTATGTTCCACTTGATGAGTACCTGCGCGCGGGCTAAATGCGCTTGAGTATGTAAACTAGCGTGAGATTGACACGGCTTTTGTAGATTCCAAATGGTAATATTGGACGCATTGTTGAAGCAATCATGTTTTTGGTGATGTGTTGAGGTGTCTTGCAATAGAAAACATGGAGGTCTTGCCATCCACCTCACACGTGACTACTGCCAACCGTGGGGACGGCTGCTTACGAAAAAACAACCCGTGGTCTTCCGGTGCAAAGCATTTCATCCCTACAGTCAAAACTTGTCAGTGGGACACGACCATTCCAAGCGGTGAGTTGCGCTACCCAGTGACTCTCCTCTTGGGCCTGGTAACCCTTATCCTCAACCCAAAGAAAAAAGGGAGGGAACCACCACCTGTAGAGAGGAAAGTATAAGTATGCGCAGTAGATCAAGCTTGCGTACTTTTTGTGTGGTCTTGCCCTGTTCTTGGTTTACTGCCTGCTGTTTTGTGCTCTTTCCCCCCTCGCCATTGCTTTTTTTGGTGGCGGAAGTCCACACATATATTTTCCCGTCTATGATCACTCCCCTCTCTCTCTCTCTCTCTCTCTCTCTCTCTCTCTCTTCTCTCTCTCTCTCTCTCTCTCTCTCTCTCTCTCTCTCTGCCTCCGTCTTTCTCGCTGTCCTCTGTGTTCAGGTGACCCATAGGACACGCGACACGGAAAGCACCTGTGTTCTCTCGATCGTATTTGCTGCTGGTCGGACGGCTGAATTTGTTGAAGGGACGCACTTGCATTTTTTTCAACCGTGTATCTTCTAAGAGCGGAGAAAAAGATCAATCGCGCCGACAGAAATCCAGCGCCTCGGGTAGTGATCGCCCCTAGGATCATACGAACTGTGTTTGTGCGTTGGATTGCTATTTCATTTTCCTGGCTTCGGGAGAGTAGATAGTTCTTTGTCTGTGAGACCAGTTTCCGGCCCTTTCCCTGCGCTTGTACACACACCCTCCCTGCATAGATTTTGAAGAAGCACGCCACGCGCGACTACCCGTACTCTTCACGCGTGCCCTGTTTTTGGTGCGGCTAGGTTGCGCGTTTGGATCCTCCGGGGATCTATCTTGTGCCGTGGCGGTGGTCCTTCTTTTCGCCGAAGCATCTCTTGTGGTAAAAGCCCCGCAGGAGAGGTGTGAATTTCGTTGTTTCATTTTTGATCGTGTTACGCGTGTGGCACGATACGCGCCTTCATTACCACTGGACTTATGTTGACCTCGGAAAGCTTTCTACCCTTTGCTGAGTTGGGGGCAACCAGATGCCTTGAGCTTGGATTGTTTTTTCTGCTCCCACCGCTCTCGCGTTAGCAACGGCAGCTACTAGTTGTGTTCTGCGTGCCGAAATTGCCCAGTGTCAGCGTTCAAACGCGTTTTTGCAAGTACCAGCAATGCTGATGCTGGATGGAAGAAGGTACGCGCGCTATCACTGTGAAAATGCTTATTAACGTCCTGGTCTGGTACGTAAATGCGCTTTCCCTACTCTTGACCGTGACATTTGTAGATTTAAATGTGTGTTAGGAACGTGCCGCGAAAGCAGTCTCATTTTGCATTTTTCTCTGAGTACTTGCAACCAAGAGAACATGGGTGTCTCTCCGTTTGCCGTTGTGATATGGCCATTCCAAAGTGGCTTGTTTTATCCGACGAACTTTCTCTGAGGCCGACTATTTCCAACCCAGAGAGAGGCGAGACAAAAATAGAACACCTCAAGTGTGGCGAAGCGTAGCTTGCTCCTCGCGTCCGTTTGGCGTGCTCGTCGCCTCTCTTAATCTTGCTTCAAGGCCTGTGTTTGGGCTAATAGTTCGTGCGCCATCGCTTTTATTGTCACGCGTGTTAATATGTATATTCCTGCCCTCGTTGATGAACCTCTGTCTCTCGTTTCTCTCGTTGTCGTTTCTTAGGTGCCCCAGCAGACACGCGCCACGGAGAGCGCCCGTACCCTCTCGTTGTTGTTTCTGCTGGTCGGACGGCTGAATCTAGCGAAAACGGTGAGAGCCCCTCTGTTTGCTTTGGACCATGCGTGTGTTTGATGGGCAGAGAACGAAGAAGACCAACGACGCCTGGACACTCAAGTGGCATGGTTCTTGATCACGCCTGTCGCGGGGTGTTACGAACTATGTATGTGTGTTTCGGCGCTGCGGTGTTGTATTTGTCGGGCTGTAAGAGAGAGAGACCAGAGAGACCAGAGAGACCAGAGAGACCATACATATTTTTACCTCCTCACTCTCTCTCGCACACAGGTAGTCCAAAAGCACGCCACACCCCTTTTTCTGCGCAGCTGGCTCACGCGCTTGGATTAGGGGACTCATCTGCTGCCGATCGGCGGAGGGGAAACGAGGAACCAGTGTCAGTGGGAAGCACAGCGGGTGAGAGTCGGGAGGCGCAAGCGGCGGCACGGGCACGCGCCTATTGTACCATAGGACAGTTGGTGACCTCGGAAAGTTTTCTGCCCCTTTGTTGAGTTGGGGCACCTGAATGCCCCCTCAAACAATATTTCGTCCGCCTCTGCGTTGACCTGTAGGAAAACACCACGCCTCCGTCTGGTTGTAGCTAGCTCAAAGCGCGCAGGCAGGTGTCTGAACTAATTTGGCCTGTGGTTCATTGTACGTGTGGTTTTGCAAAGTCATTGTCGCGAGCTCCTCCTTGGTTTCAAAACCACATGCTTCGGGGCGATTGGCCTTTATCTCACACATCAATGATATCCGAGTGTTGAATGTCGTAGCTCCCATTTTCACAAATACTTTCCCGATTTGCAACTTTTTCCTTCGCCGCACGCAGGCACCGAGTACACCGACGCGAGACAGCAGAAGACGAATAGAGGCGCGCGGATTTCCTGCTGAGTGGTGACAACTGGTGAGCAAGTGCTTTACGGTGTGTCGACCGAGAGAGAGAGAGGTAAAATGCAGGAGATTTGCATTTCAGTCAACGAGAGGGAGTAGAGTCGGAGTGGAGGAAGCGTACTGCGTTCCTCGATCCTATCGCCGTCGCCTGGTGTCAGGTTTGGCTTGCGTGTTGCACGGGCGTGCGTGCACTGTCTTGCCATTCAAAGTTGAAACAAAATCCGCTCACTTTTTGCCACCTCGAAAACCTCTCGTACGCATGCTTCACGAACATATGCTCAAAACCATTTGAAGAGTGTAGATAATCTCGTTTCGCCCGAACACCAGTCGCGCGGGCGCCAATTTTCCCTGATATCCCATGTCGCCGCGCCCCTTTCGATATTTCTGCAGTGCTTGCGCCCTTTCGCCCCATATTCTCCCCACGCCCTTTAATTTGCGGTCTCCCATCACAGGCCAGTGCTATAATTGCGCTCTTCACCCGTGCTCTTTGTCGGCACTGCTGAGTCGCGTGCTTGGATTTGCTTGAAAAGGGCAGGAGACCTTTGTGTGTATCGAAAGTAGGTGAGGTTCCAGTTGCGTACGGCTAGGATTTCATGCGCCACGCATGTAGCACTTTACGGTGCGGAAAGCTTCGGCTTGGTGCACGCGGATGCTGCACGTCTGTGCGTGCATCAGATCACACGATATGCGTGTCTTGCATTGCTCCATACAGAACAAATCCCGCCGGCGCTCCCTCACCTCGAGACACTCTCGAATGTAAGTGCAATGCCCATACCCCATGCGAGAGTGGTGCAGATAGTCTCGTCCCCCCGGTATCCCATCTCATCCCATACGAACCCTCTCACGTAGCCTAACCGCGCAGATCGTCCCTTGTTTTGTTTTTCTGTGTAGTCTCCTATTTTGTGCGCCTCTTAATTTTCCCGCTCTCTCTCTCTCTCGTACACTTACCCTCCCTCTACCCGCACTCTTGACCCTTATCCCTCTTCGGCGCGGCTCTTGGATCTGCGTGGACGCGAAGGCGTGTGTGTGAGATGGGCGGGCCTTGCAGCTTGGGAATATATGGACGGAGAGCCACCGGGATGCCAAGGATTGGATGCGAGAGGTGGTGGTATTTGCCCGCCTACGTGGGCCACAGGACCTTCAGGTGAGATTTTTTTTAAATAAAACAGTAACACATCAAGGGCCTTTAGGTTCGTCATGAATGGGGACAGAGGTCTATCATCCCCGACACACACACGCACAGCGGAGCTTTGACGAGCACGTGTGTACTTGGTTTTTTTTTTCGTGAGTGTGAGAAGACTTTTACCCCTTTTCTGCTGCTGATCCATCCTACTGCATGTGCTCCTACAGGTGTGCCACACCGCATACCGCCACACATGTGCTGCTTGTTCAAACACACGAGTTCCTTTGGATCACTCGGCTAGGCGTTTTGTCCCTGGATTGGAACTTTCATCCCTCTCTCATCTTCAGCTATGGTGTGTGTGGAACCCGTGTGTTGAAAACATAGAATATATCAGCAGATTGGTCTGGCTTGTTTCATCGGCCCCCTAGCTTTCCCTTCACATTGAAGCACGTGTTTTGGGAGATGATGTTCACGTGTTTACACGATGCATACACTATCATTGCCAAAATTAAATACGTGCGATCCTCCTTTCCGCCCAAGTTGCGGTTTTGGCGGCAAAGCGGAAAACATTCCATTGTATGTGCGTGTGTTCTCCGCGCTCTTTTTTCTCTTGAGATTATCAAAGTGTGGGTTTAGGTAGCAACACTGGTTCCGCCTGTATGCAACAGCAGACACCCAACAGCGAAGACCCACACAATACGTGTCGGAGGATCTTAACACACACGACTTCCTGTACAAATCAAACTCATCCTCATACATTCAGGATGGGAAACAACACAGACATCGAACTTCAAGAGCCGGCTCCCGTCGTCCACAACATCTCCGATAGCGACACAGACAGAAATGGAGGAACCGGCGCCCGCCTTCCACGCAGCCGATGCAGAGGTGGCACAGACTGACCGCCGCCGCCGCCGCAACAGCAACGGCGGTCCCGTGGGCCCCCTCATTCGTGCATGGGCCAAGCACACCAGGAGGCTGAGCGACCACCTCGCCCCGGCCGTGTCGTGCAAGCTCGCGACGTGTCGCCTCCACGACCATATGGAGGGTCCTTGATTTCATGGAATGGGAATATGCTTTCGTGTTCTATTGTTGCAGTCTCTCTTGGGTATTTCTTGCTCTAAATGCAGATTTTATTGTCTCGCCCGTTATTGCAAGAGTTTTTTCTTGAAAACGGGGAAGCGATTGGCTTGACCAGCGGTGTGCGGTACGCGAGTTTCGTGTTGACGTTAAACTAGCCCCCACCATTTCCACGCACTGGCACTTTTTATCACGTTCCAAACAAGAAAATGCCCTGTCGCGGAACCAACCCGTTTTTTTAAAGATAAAACAAGTACAAAAGCTGGCGTCTCAAAAACCAGGCCGTCAGATTTCAAATTCTGGCCGGCGCAAGCAATATTGAAGTTTCCCAAATCTGCGAAACTGGTCTCTTGGTACTAACTAAAACCATTCTTCTGGTGATGTGCCCAAATACGCTAACCACTACCTTGAGATGTAGCGATGATAGAAAAACTTAACTCTAAAATGTGCCGCATGGATAGACAAAAGCCGCCGCTCGTGCTGTTGCTCATCGGCTCGGCCATGTTGCCGGTCATCGGTTAANTGTTGCCGACCATCAGTTCGAGCACGTTTTCGTTCTGCGGCGCTTCTTCGCGGCTCGACCGTTGTGTCGGCCGTCGGTTCGAACAAGTTCTCGTTCTGTCGCGCATCTTTGTGGCTCGGCCGTGTCGTTGCCGGCCATCGGTTCGAGCAAGTTGTCGTTCTGTCGCGCGTCTTGTCGCGCATCGGCCGTGTTGTTGGCCATCGGCTCGGCCGGTTTGTCCCACATTCATTTGCAAGATATCAAGTTGATAGCTGACGTCTCAAAACCAGGCCGTCTGATTTCGGACTCTGGCTCTCACAAACAACATTCCACTTTTCAACATCTGTGAAACTGGTCTCTTGATACTAAAACCAGTCTTCTGATGATGTGACCAGACACCCTACCCTCTACCTTGAGATATACCCGTAGACATACATTGTAGCGTACCACATGGATAGGGGAAAGCCGCCGCTCGTGCTGTCGCTGATCGGCTCGGCCGTGGTGTCGGCCATCGGTTCCGGCAAGTTGTCGTTCTGTGGCGCGTGTTCGCGGCTCGGCCGTTGTAGCCGGCCATCCATTGCGGCAAGTTGTCGTTCTGTGGCGCGTCTTCGCGGGTCGGCCGTGCTGTTGCCGGCCATCGGTTCGAGTAAGGTATCGTCCATCGGTTCGAGCAAGGTCTGGTTCTGTTGTTGCCGGCCATCAGTTCGAGCAATTTTTCGTTCCGTGGCGCTTCTTCGCGGCTTGGCTGTGCTGTTGCCGGCCATCGGTCCGAGCAAGGTCTCGTTCTATTGTTGCCGGCCATCAGGTCCGGCATGTCCTCTTTCTGTGGCGCTCCTTCGCGGCTCGGCCGTGTTGTTGCCGTTCGGTCCCGGCAAGGTCTCTTTCTGTCGCGCGTCTTCGTGGCTCAGCCGTGTCGTTGCCGGCCATCGGTTCGAGCAAGGTCTCGTTCTGTTGTTGCCGGCCATCAAGTCCGGCACGTCCTCTTTCTGTCGCGCGTTTTCGTGGCTCAGCCGTGTCGTTGCCGGCCATCGGTTCGAGCAAGGTCTCGTTCTGTTGTTGCCGGCCATCAAGTCCGGCACGTCCTCTTTCTGTCGCGCGTTTTCGTGGCTCAGCCGTGTTGTTGCCGTTCGGTCCTGGCAAGGTCTTTTTCTGTCGCGCGTCTTCGTGGCTCAGCCGTGTTGTTGCCGGCCATCGGTTCGAGCAAGGTCTCGTTCTGTTGTTGCCGACCATCAGTTCGAGCACGTTTTCGTTCTGCGGCGCTTCTTCGCGGCTCGACCGTTGTGTCGGCCGTCGGTTCGAACAAGTTCTCGTTCTGTCGCGCATCTTTGTGGCTCGGCCGTGTCGTTGCCGGCCATCGGTTCGAGCAAGTTGTCGTTCTGTCGCGCGTCTTGTCGCGCATCGGCCGTGTTGTTGGCCATCGGCTCGGCCGGTTTGTCCCACATTCATTTGCAAGATAGATCAAGCAGATAGCTGGCGTCTCAAACCCAGGCCGTCTGATTTCGGATTCTGGCTTTCACAAACAACATTCAACTTTCCAACATCTGTGAAACTGGTCTCTTGATACTAAAACCAGTCTTCTGATGATGTTACCAGACACCCTACCCTCTACCATGAGATATACCCGTAGACATACATTGTAGCGTACCACATGGGTAGGGAAAAGCCGCCGCTCGTGCTGTCGCTGATCGGCTCGGCCGTGGTGTCGGCCATCGGTTCCGGCAAGTTCGTTCTGTCGCGCGTCTTTCCGTTGTCGGCCATCCGTTGCGGCAAGTTGTCGTTCTGTGGCGCGTGTTCGCGGCTCGGCCGTGTTGTTGCCGGCCATCGGTTCGAGAAATTTTATGGCGCGCCTTCGCGGCTCGGCCGTGTCGTTGTCGGCCATCGGTTCGAGCAAGTTCTCGTTCTGTCGCGCGTCTTCTCGCGCATCGGCCGTGTTGTCGGCCATCCGTTGTGGCAAGTTGTCTTTCTGTGGCGCGTCTTCGCAGCTCGGCCGTGTTGTTGCCGGCCATCGGTTCGAGCAAGGTCTGGTTCTGTTGTTGCCGGCCATCAGTGCGAGCAAGTTTTCGTTCTGCGGCGCTTCTTCGCGGCTCCGCCGTGTTGTTGCCGGCCATCGGTTCCGGCAAAGTCTCGTTCTGTCGCGCGTCTTCTCGCGGCTCGGCCGTGTTGTCGGCCATCGGCTCGGCCGGTTTGTCCCGCATTCATTTGCAAGATAGATCAAGTTGATAGCTGACGTCTCAAAACCAGGCCGTCTGATTTCGGACTCTGGCTCTCACAAACAACATTCAACTTTCCAACATCTGTGAAACTGGTCTCTTGATACTAAAACCAGTCTTCTGATGATGTTACCAGACACCCTACCCTCTACCATGAGATATACCCGTAGACATACATTGTAGCGTACCACATGGATAGAGAAAAGCCGCCGCTCGTGCTGTCGCTGATCGGCTCGGCCGTGGTGTCGGCCATCGGTTCCGGCAAGTTCGTTCTGTCGCGCGTCTTTCCGTTGTCGGCCATCCGTTGCAGCATGTTGTCGTTCTGTGGCGCGTGTTCGCGGCTCGGCCGTGTTGTTGCCGGCCATCGGTTCGAGAAATTTTATGGCGCGCCTTCGCGGCTCGGCCGTGTCGTTGTCGGCCATCGGTTCGAGCAAGTTCTCGTTCTGTCGCGCGTCTTCTCGCGCATCGGCCGTGTTGTCGGCCATCCGTTGTGGCAAGTTGTCTTTCTGTGGCGCGTCTTCGCAGCTCGGCCGTGTTGTTGCCGGCCATCGGTTCGAGCAAGGTCTGGTTCTGTTGTTGCCGGCCATCAGTGCGAGCAAGTTTTCGTTCTGCGGCGCTTCTTCGCGGCTCCGCCGTGTTGTTGCCGGCCATCGGTTCCGGCAAAGTCTCGTTCTGTCGCGCGTCTTCTCGCGGCTCGGCCGTGTTGTCGGCCATCGGCTCGGCCGGTTTGTCCCGCATTCATTTGCAAGATAGATCAAGTTGATAGCTGACGTCTCAAAACCAGGCCGTCTGATTTCGGACTCTGGCTCTCACAAACAACATTCAACTTTCCAACATCTGTGAAACTGGTCTCTTGATACTAAAACCAGTCTTCTGATGATGTTACCAGACACCCTACCCTCTACCATGAGATATACCCGTAGACATACATTGTAGCGTACCACATGGATAGAGAAAAGCCGCCGCTCGTGCTGTCGCTGATCGGCTCGGCCGTGGTGTCGGCCATCGGTTCCGGCAAGTTCGTTCTGTCGCGCGTCTTTCCGTTGTCGGCCATCCGTTGCAGCAAGTTGTCGTTCTGTGGCGCGTGTTCGCGGCTCGGCCGTGTTGTTGCCGGCCATCGGTTCGAGAAATTTTATGGCGCGCCTTCGCGGCTCGGCCGTGTCGTTGTCGGCCATCGGTTCGAGCAAGTTCTCGTTCTGTCGCGCGTCTTCTCGCGCATCGGCCGTGTTGTCGGCCATCCGTTGTGGCAAGTTGTCTTTCTGTGGCGCGTCTTCGCAGCTCGGCCGTGTTGTTGCCGGCCATCGGTTCGAGCAAGGTCTGGTTCTGTTGTTGCCGGCCATCAGTGCGAGCAAGTTTTCGTTCTGCGGCGCTTCTTCGCGGCTCCGCCGTGTTGTTGCCGGCCATCGGTTCCGGCAAAGTCTCGTTCTGTCGCGCGTCTTCTCGCGGCTCGGCCGTGTTGTCGGCCATCGGCTCGGCCGGTTTGTCCCGCATTCATTTGCAAGATAGATCAAGTTGATAGCTGACGTCTCAAAACCAGGCCGTCTGATTTCGGACTCTGGCTCTCACAAACAACATTCAACTTTCCAACATCTGTGAAACTGGTCTCTTGATACTAAAACCAGTCTTCTGATGATGTTACCAGACACCCTACCCTCTACCATGAGATATACCCGTAGACATACATTGTAGCGTACCACATGGATAGGGAAAAGCCGCCGCTCGTGCTGTCGCTGATCGGCTCGGCCGTGGTGTCGGCCATCGGTTCCGGCAAGTTGTCGTTCTGTGGCGCGTGTTCGCGGCTCGGCCGTGTTGTTGCCGGCCATCGGTTCGAGAAATTTTATGGCGCGCCTTCGCGGCTCGGCCGTGTCGTTGTCGGCCATCGGTTCGAGCAAGTTCTCGTTCTGTCGCGCGTCTTCTCGCGGCTCGGCCGTGTTGTTGCCGGCCATCGGTTCGAGAAATTTTATGGCGCGCCTTCGCGGCTCGGCCGTGTCGTTGTCGGCCATCGGTTCGAGCAAGTTCTCGTTCTGCCGCGCGTCTTTTCGCGCATCGGCCGTGTTGTCGGCCATCCGTTGTGGCAAGTTGTCGTTCTGTGGCGCGTCTTCGCAGCTCGGCCGTGTTGTTCCCGGCCATCAGCTCGAGCAAGTTCTCGTTCTGTTGTTGCCGGCCATCGGTTCGAGCAAGGTCTCGTTCTGTTGCTGCCGGCCATCAGTTCGAGCAAGGTCTCGTTCTGTGGCGCGTAATCGCGGCTCGGCCGTGTTGTTGCCGGCCATCAGTTCGAGCAAGTTGTTGTTCTGTGGCGCGTGTTCGCGGCTCGGCCGTGTTGTTGCCGTTCGGTCCCGGCAAGTTGTCGTTCTGTGGCGCGTCTTCGCGACTCGGCCGTGGTGTCGGCCATCGGTTCCAGCAAGTTGTCGTTCTGTGGCGCGTGTTCGCGGCTCGGCCGTGTTGTTGCCGTTCGGTCCCGGCAAGTTGTCGTTCTGTGGCGCGTCTT